TTCCAAGTAGCTGGAACTACAGGCGCGCACTTCCACGCCCAGGTAATTTTTTGATTTATTGTAGAGATGAGGTTTCGCCAAGTTGCCCAGGCGGGTCTCGAATTCGCAGGCTCAGGCAATTCACTCACCTCAGCCTCCCAAAGCACAGGATTACAGGCTGAGCCACCGAGCCTGGCTATAAGTTACTTTCTAAAATGAGAATTGACTTCCACGTTTGCAAGATACAAGATATAACTGAAACCTGCCATTTCTAAAGATAAGGGCTAGACCTTAGTGAAACACCGGATAGACTCAGACTAGGAATTTCCAGCTGTAACCTTCTCAGGGGATACTGGTCAAAGAGCTTCTAATATTCTCATTCCTTTGTCAAGATGGTCCTTAATGGAAGTTGAATGTATTAGGCATTTTAACTTATTGACATAAATATTCAGTTCCTCCAATTACCTTTGTCTAGATTTCAAACATCCTAAAAACTTCCTGTTATTTGGGGGCTGTGTGTGTCTTCTTACAGGGAAAAAATGTTCTGGTCATATGCGCACCAGTCCCTTCTAGAATTCCAGTCCCTGTGACAGTCATTTCTCAATTTAAGTCAATAAACTGATGTTCAACTGATGTTCATCTCTTGAGCTTGGTTAATGTGAATTTGGTTTGTGAGCTGACTTAAATAGGATTCTAGGCCTGCAACCATGAGGGACAGACCTGAGTTGTGGTAAATTTATCAAGTTTGTCTCACTTGTTCATTTGTTTTTTTAGTAGATGCTCTTGGCACCCTGGATCTTTCCAAAGTACTTCATGGCAGTCCTCATTCCAATTGCCAGCATCTGCATTTCTTGTTTAGGCTTTCTCTGACCAGCTGGAGTTCCTGTGCCCCATCACAGCAAACCAGCAGGATGAGGATACGTGTATTACATGCTCACAGGATAACTGTAAAGTGAGTGTTCTCTACTTGGTTCCTGATGTTCTTCATCAAAAGCAAATTCTACTTGCCTACAGTGAACTCTTGATTGACTCTATATTCTTAATTGGTTGCCTCCTTTCCTTAACTCACTTCCTTACCAATGTTTCTTGGAGTCACTTCCTAAATACATTATTGCACTTAAATCATTGTCTCAAGATGTTTCAGGGTTAACCCAAAACGAAGATAATTTTATCCATTCATTCATCAACATGTATTGAGCACTTATTATAAGCCAGGAACTGAGACAAGTTCTTAGCAACACATTGTTTCTTTAATCATCACATTCTCAGCTCCTTTACCAATGAAGAAATCAAGGCTTAAGAGAGGTAAGCTGCTGGCTCAATATCATATAATTAGGACAGAGTGCTAGAAAGGGGTTACAGCAGATCAGGCGGGCTCCCAGATACCCAGTATTAAACTGAACAATATGAAAAAGGAGCTTCCTGTTGGGATAACAATTTGAGAATATTATTGTAATACTGCTATGAAGCAATGAAAAAAGATTATTGAATGAGTGATAAAACGTTTCAATGAAACATATTTTTAAATTTACTTTTGTTTTCTGGGAAAGCAACATGCTACAAAAAGAGAACAAACACACACACACACACACACACACACACACACACACACACACACACACACACACTCTCAGGTCCTTAGGTCTAAGGCCAGGCGTGGTGGCTCAAGTCTGTAATCCCAGCACTTTGGGAAGCTGAGGTGAGAGGACTGCCTGAGCTCAGGGGTTCAAGATCAGCCTGGGAAAGCTGGTGAGACCTCATCTCTACAAGAAATAAAAAAAAAATAAGCCGGGTGTGATAGTATGTACCTGTAATTCCAGCTTCTTGGAAGGCTGAGGTGGAAGGATCACCGGAACCCAGCAGGTTGAGGCTGCACTGGCCATGAACGTGCCACTGCACTCCAGCTTGGGCAACAGAGTGAGACTCTGACTCCAAAACAGTTAAAAATAAATAAATAAATGAATCCTAGCTCTACTAGGTTTTAGCTGTGAGACATTGGTAAGTTGCTTACTTATTTTAAGCTTAGTTTTCTAATCCATAATGTTGATGATACTTAAGATCGTTGCAAAAAGTAATGAGATTTACTCAAACAACTGGCACCGAATGAGTGCACAGACTCAACTTGTGGAAATATAATGTCATTTCAGGAACTTTGTGTTAAGTATTGCAATATTGATGGAATCAGTACTGTGCTTAGCAGGAACTTAAAAATATAAATATTTTACATCATGAATAATATCTAAATTATTACCTATCTTTAAAATCTTGGTCATTCCATATCAGAATGATAGTTTAATGCTACAATATAAAATAAAAACAAAAATTTACAAAGTCAAGTTTTAAGTATACAATTATATTTGAAGCAATTTCTGAAAGAGTCCACATAGTAAAACTTATCATTTTGATAATTTTGTATTCTGATTCTTCTCTAGCCAGATGTTGTATTTAGTTGAGAGATCCTGAAGGAAAACAATAAGTGAAGTTGTCTACACCATCTTTTTTTTTTTACAAGTCAAGATTTATTGAGAGGACAGAAAAGCTCCCATAGTGGGAGGGGACTTCATCTTTAATACTAAGATTTTATTTAGTCAATGTACTTCCCTAGATTTAATCTTATATTGTTAGAATCCGTTAGAATCATGTATTTAAAATGGTATTAGACATATGGATTGCAGTGTGAATGATTTCAAAGAACTCATATGATGCACCTGTCAGGAGGAAAATTTTCTGAGGCCTGCTTCATTGATTTGAGTGGAACTATTTTATTCAGAACAGCTCAGATTAGCAGCATCAGCAGCAGCTGGTGTTCAATGAAACCCTTCCCTTTTCCACCTTCTCTCCACCTTCTCTCCAGGGTGAAGGCCAGCATAAAGAAACTGAAATGACCAAGGTCAAAGTATGATTTTACAGGACTTCCAGGTTTTTGCTCCATTGACTTTTTATGTAGTCTTGCATACAGGTGCAATTAGCAAAATTAGTGGTTGAATAAGTCATAGATTTAAGAGGACTTCATAGGTCATCTTGCGTAATATCTTAAACCATATACCAAGATTCTAACAGAGTAGAAGACTTCTTGCTTATTTACTGGAGTTCACAAATTAAGATTTTTTTACAGTAAATTAATTTGTCTGATAGTCTGTCCCCACTGCACTATATAAGTACCATGTATCTCTGCTTGACATAGCTGAAAAGTGAAATATGCAGACACGTGACTTTATTACCTTTTACCTCAGCAAAAGGGTTCTCTGTTAGACATGCTAGTCTCAGTTCTTAACTTTCTTCTTTTCTTTTACCCCTTTTGTACTCTTAAAGGCTGATTCACTCATTCATTCAAACATTTTTAAAAAAGTTATCGGGTTTTAGCCATTGAGATAGACATGGGAACATAGAAGAAAGTTAAGGTTTTCCTCTCTCAAGGAACTTCAAGGAAGACAGAAGTGTAAGCACATGTGTGTAGAAGTGGCATGTTGGGAAGAAGTGACTCAGAGGCATAAGCAATGACCCCGGTTGAGTAGATCAGAGAGGCTTCTCAGAGGATGTGCTTGAACTTGTCTAAAAGGTAGAAGACATTGCATGCAAAAGGGCTCCAAATGACTCTTACATATGTTAGTATTGCCTGAGCAATGGTTTACATGGGGAGTGGAAGGAGACAGGGCTGGAAGGGAGGCAGGGGCCACATCCAATGAGCCATGTTCTTGGAGGTTAGGCATTATTCAGAAGGCCATAGTTAGTTACTGATAGAATTTAAAAAGGGGGTAATGTGATCATCTTTGTTTCTAAAGAAAACATTTTGTAGAAAGAACATTCAGTAGGAAAGTACTGTAATGGACCAGCATTTTGCTGGGTGTTGGGGATAAAATAGTGAATTAGATAATATGGCCCTGCCCTTCTGAAATTTACAGTCCAATTTATAAATACTAACAGTCTGAACACTAAGGGAAAAATTAAGGTAACAGTAGTGGAATTATATAGGAGGAATTATAATAATAATGATGACAATAATAATAGTGCTTTTACATTTATTGACCACTTCATATGCACCATCTTTGTCCATTCTCCACACGGTAGCCAGAGTGATTTCTTTTTTTTAAATATTTTTTTGAGCCAGAGTCTCACTCTGTCACCCAGGCTGGAATGCAGTGGTGCACTCATGGCCACCATAGCCTCAACCTCCTGGGCTCAGGATCTCTTTCCACTTCAGCCTTCCAAGTAGTTGGAACTACCGGCATGTGTCACAATGCCCGGCTAATTTTTTTATTTATTGTAGAGATGAGGTCTCGCCGAGTTGCCCAGGCTGGTCTTGAACCTGTGTGCTCAGTCAGGCAATCCTCTCACCTCAGCCTCCCAGTGCTAGTATTATAGGCATGAGCCACTGTGCCTGGCCTAGAGTGACTTCTATAGGTTAGACCTTGTCACAATTCTCTCAGACTCTTCCAGAGTCTTCCTGCCTCATTCAGAGCAAATATCCAAGTTCTTAGGATAAGCTACAAAGCCCACAAGGCTGTGACTCACTGTGACTTCTCTGAACTTATCTTCAACACCTTCCCTCCCTTTGCTCTAGCCACAGTGCCTGCCTTGCTGTTCCTACATGACTCTAGGCACCTATCTGTTTCAGGGCCCTCTTGTCTGGAAGGTTCTTTCCTATATATTCACATAGCTCATTCCCTCACTTCTGTCAAACTTCTGCTTAAATGTCATCTTTTCAATGTGATCTTCTCTGGTCACCCTGCCTGATATAACTCCTGTATTATTCCCGATTCCCTTTGCCTTGCTTTATATTTCTCTTCAACACATCACATTCTGACATAGCACATAGGGGGAGGGGGGCCCAAAAATCATGAAATTCATTTATTTACAAATATGTATTTATTACATGTTTAAACTTTAATCACCTTCACAGTACTCTCCATTTGACGCAATACACCTACTGAGGCACTTTTTCCACTGCTCAGAAACATTTTTGAACTCATCAATTTTGAAGTCTTTTAGTGCTTCTGCCATTTTTTTTTGGTTTTGTTTTGCATCTTCCACATCGGCAAAACATATTCCTTTGAGAACTTTTTTCATCTAGGGAAACAAACAAAAAGTCACTTCAGGTGAGCTTGAGCAAATAGAGAGGCTAGGGCATGGGGGTCATGCCACCTTTAGTCAAAAACTGCTGAACACTCAGCACAGTGTAGGCAGGTGCATTGCCATGGTGAAAAAACCACTCATCTGTTTGCCACAACTCGGGACATTTCTTCTACAATGTTGATGCACCAGCTCAAAACTTCCAGATAAAAACTTTGGTTGCCCATTTGACCCGGAGAAACAAATTCCGGGTCAAATGGGCAACCAAAGAATCCCTCTCACATCAAAGAAACAAATGATTATTGCTTTTACATTTGATTTCACTTGCCATGCTTTTTTGGGTCATGGCGGAGTGGCAGTTTTCCATTAACTAGACTGCTGTTTTGTTTCAGGGTCATAACCGTAGCACCAAGATTCATCTCTGGTTATGACTTTGGAAAAAAACAATCAGGGTCAGCCTCCAACTGCTCCTTCAAAGCACGTCATGCAGCCAAGCAATTGTCTCTTTGTTCAGGTGTGAACAAGTAAGGCATGCATTTTGCTGAAATTTGTTTCATGCCCAAATTTTCAGATAAAATTTGTGGACAGGAACCCCGCAACACCCCGGTCAACTCCACAAATTCATCAATAGTCCAACAGTGGTATTCTAAGATGGCTTGACAAATTCTTATCACATTTACTTCAGTTTGGTCAAAGGACGCTCAGAACAAAGTAGATCAACAATTGACATTTCACCTCGTTTACAATTCTTAAACTTGTGTTTTACTCAGTGCAGCATCTTTGTAAGCTGTCTATAGCATAACAACCATTTATGCTACATTTTTCCCCAAGAGAAAACAAAATTTCACCGCTGCACAGTTGTTTGTATAAATCACCCATCATGAAACGGGCAAAGGCAGGAAAAGAATCTTCAAAAAAAAAATTCACTGAAGCCAGTGCAGCTTTCTCACAACAGTGCTACCTGGTACCTGATGCTGATGAGCTCAAAGAACACTCACCTTGGGGAGTAACCCACCCACCAAAAGATAATTCAGATTTTTTGGGGTCCCTCCTGGTATGTGTTGGTTTTTTTCCTTCATGGATCATACATTCCATGAGGGTAGGCTCATTGTATTGTTCATGGTTGTATTCACAGACTATAGAACAGTGCCAAAACATTATTATCTTCTTAATAAATATGTACTGAATGGGTGAATGAAGGATTGCAATGGCCCTATTTTTTCCCCATTTCCTGATGAAGAAATAGGGATATCAATTGAAGTACTCAAGGTTCTATACCTGGTAAGTGACTGAACTGCAATTTACCTGGAAAATAAAAAAGCCTGCCCTTGTTGAGCTTATACTATGTGCTATTCTAAGTGCTTTACACTTATTAACATTTACTCCTCATAACAACTCCATTTTTCAGATGAGGAAACTAAATCAAAAAGTTTATAATCTTGCCCAGCATTTATGCACTTGGTAGTAAACTGGAAGCTGTTCTCATAACCACTTTGCTATACTACCTAATTCTAAAGACAATTCTTTAGGGAGTACATGACCTTGCCTGTTAATTGCCAGGAGAAGGAGGAAGAGACTGAAATCTAGGATTACTAACATTATAATTGGGGACTTCCACCAATGAAAGAGTTGTTAATTAACTAAGGAATGTAAGATGAGTTGATTTAATTCTCCCCTAACTTCAGACTCCCACATCCAACTGCCTATTAATATCTTCACTTAGATTATTAAGATATGAGGTCAGCAGCATAAAAGACATTTAGAATAATCACAACAGATTAGAGTAGTAGCTGTTTTATATCAAAGTTGAGCTGGTACACAGGATCTGCCCAGTGAAGTATTCAGGGACCCACCTTGTTGCTCTGTGATTCCCAGAATGTTTCCCTCTGACTTTTCTGTTTGTACTGCTACAACAAATTAACCGAGATTGAATAGTTTATAAAGCATAGACATTTATTTTCTCACAGTTTTAGAGGTTGAGCAGTCCAAAAGCAAGGTGCTGGCCGGTTCAGTTTCTGCCAAGGATTGCTCTCTGCTTCCAAAGTGGCATCTTGTTATGGCATTCTCTGAAGGGGACAAATGCTGTGTCCTCATATGGCTGAAGGGGTGGAAGAACAAAAGAGGGCCTAAGGTAGTTCTCTTTAAAAAGGCACTGATCTATTCATGAGGGCAGGACCATCATGACTTACTTCCCAAAAAGGCTCCACCTGTTAATACTGCACAGTGGGGATTAGGGTTCAACATGAATTTCAGGAGGACATTATCACTCAAAGCATAACGCCTTACAACACTCATCACCCCAGTCACATTCTACTAATCAGAAAGGGACAAAGAGAAAGGGAAAGGGACATCCAATTTCTTTTAAAGAATGATCTGGAAGTTGCACACATCATTTCTGCTCACATTCCACTTGCCAGAACTTAATGACATGGCCAAACTTAGAGTTTATTATAGGTAACCAAGGTCTGGCTTGATGTTGTAACAAGGAGGAAGGGGATAACGCATATTAGGGGTCAGTTAGCAAGCAGTCTGTACTACAGACATCTAATAGGATCTCAGATTTAACATTGCCAGAACTAACTTCCTACTTGTTCTTCTAAAACTTCTGCGTTATTCCCATCTCAGTCAATGGTGGATAACAGGACAAACTCAAGGGTTTAATTTTGGACATGTTGAGTTTGAGGAGCCTGAAGAACACTGAGTGCAAATTTCCAATAAGGGGTTGAAGATATTGTTTCTGAACCTTCTGGGTGAGGTCTTGTGTTCAAGGTTCAGGCAGGAACCCTGACTGAAATAAGTGATAGAAAAAATGGTACTGTCAGAGACTGTGCAGTGTGATAGTCAAAGAAAATCAAGGATGGAGAGGGAGGATTCTGCATAGGAATCTTGAGGAAGGTGGCCCAAGATTAAGGGCAGAGAAGCCAAAAAATATAAGGTGACAGAACCAAGGGAGCAGATTCTAGGAGGCAGTATTAGCAGTGTGGAAGGCTGCAGAGAGGTCAGATACTATGAAAACTGAGAAGCAACCTTTGGGTTTGACCATTATGCTATAGTGACATTGATACAAGCAATGTGTGTAGTAAAATGGAGGCAGATGCTAACTTTCAGTAGTTGATGAGGGACGTGGATGGAAACAGCAATCCGAGCACAGACAGCTCTTCTAAACAGAAGGGACAAAGTCAGCAGAAGGAAAATGTATAAATGGGGGAGGGACTGAGGGAGTAAGAATCTTGGGGAAACTGTTCCTTGTCCCCAAAAAAGTACCTGTAGAAAGGATGGCTCACACTTTAAAACAGGAGGTCAATAGGAATGCAAATTTAGATACATTCATAGGAATAAGGGTGGGGCCATGAGGAAGTTGATACCTGATATGTGTAATACTAAATAATGATGCAGATACTACTAATATTACCACTAGTTCTAAACACTAACATTTATTGAGCACTTACCATATGCCAGACAGTGTTTTACATGGAGCTAATTTTGCTTCAACAGTGTTACTTTTTTTTTTTTTTTTAAGTTGGAGTCTCACTCTGTCGCCCAGACTGGAGTGCAGTGGCCGCTCCTGGCCACCGCAGCCTCGATCTGCTGGGCTCCGGCGATCCTTCCGCCTCAGCCTTCCAAGTAGCTGGAACTACAGGCGCGCGCTACCATGCCCAGCTAGTTTTTGATTTATTGTAGAGATGAGGTCTTGCCAAGTTGCCCAGGCAGGTCTCGAACCCGAGGGCTCAGGCAGTCCACTCACCTCAGCCTCCCAAAGGCGCGGGATTACAGGTTGAGCCACTGAGCCCGGCTCTAACAGTATTTCTTAAATTCTGGGAGCTAGTTATATACTGAAAGTTTAGTGTCCCTTAATAGTCAGTGTGTAACATTCTGATGCAATTTAAAAATAGCAACAGTAATTTTCATCCCACCATATCTGACCTTTGTTTCTTCCATGCCTTGGTTTATTTCTGATCTTGGAGCATTCTGGATAATAAAATAGTTGTTTCACATTTTGATTCATCTGTTGCGACTCACATCAGCAAGAAATGCAGAGCAACAAAACAGCACTGTCAAATAATAATAATAATAATAATAAGTTCACCAGCAATTTAGAGCAAAATGTTTACTTAAAAAAAGTTTGTATTAGCAGGTACATATTAGTAGATAACCCCATAACCACTGAAGTGTTGGGACACTCTGAAAAAGTTTCCACAGTTTTACAGGTGTGCCTTCTCGAACTTGGGAGTTCTTGAGGGCAGAGACAGGGATTATCTTTTGTTGTTTCCCAAGGCCTGGCACATAATCAAGTAGTTCAAGGCCCGACACTTGAATATGTTCATAAAATTAAACTGCTTTTTTCACTCTACACCTGAAATGAGAAAATTATTAGAGACAACTGGGTCTCATTTTGACTAGAATAGCTTAAGGAATTTACTGTTCACTTAGTAGATGCTAAATAGCTTTTCTGGGAAAACACACTTGAAGAAAAATATGAGTCTGATATGGGAGAATAATTTTTTTCATATAAACTGATATACATGGAGGTGGAACACTACTAGTGTTCTAAAGATTCCTGACAATATTCACGCAGTTAATTTTTACTAGCAAACATTTCTAAACTTGAAAATGGATTAAGCAAAGAGTAAAGTGGGTTCTTGAATGAAATCTAACATTAATGTCACACATAAGAAAACATTTAATCTCTACAGTAAATGCCTAACATTAATGTTACACATCAAGCTATTATAAAATTACATTTCATTTATTCAAACAATTTCTTCGTCAGAAGCAGAAGAATAGCTAAAAGTATCTTCACATGCTAAGCAGTAGCAATGGTTTGCTTTAACTACTCTCACGATGAAGCCTTTAAAGATGTTCATTCTCAGTTGTCTATTTTGATAATTTGCAAAAATAAAACTTTAAAAGAAAATGATTCTAACTAGTCCTTTCCATAAAACAGCAAATAGTTTCCAAATGTGTATCTACAGTAAGAAAAAAAATTTTTTTTAATGAATAAAGAGCCGAGTTAAAACATCCTAAAACCGAACATGGCTTAATACTATCATTTATCATCAGTTGTCCTGGAATAATCTAAATTCTTATTTTTTATAGTTGATTTTTTGTAATTGACTGAGGCAACATGTATATGTGTGTATATATAACATACACATAATACATACATATTCCGGACTACATAAAAAAAGAATGACAGTTAAGAAATACAGCGCTGTGCATGACTGTTGATATTAACAACTTGAGTACTAGATGATTGAGGCCTTACCTAGAACCTTAGGAGCTTATCAGCAAAGCTGCAAGTCCTAAGACTAAGAATCGTTGGTGATTCTCTTATGGCACTGTTAGCAAGTGTTGCAAAGCTATAAAAAAAACCCTTTTAAAATAAAACGGTGACCCTGTTACTAAATACGACAGCATATGGATTTAAACGGGTTCAGCTGTCGTATGGCTCAAAATGCGCCTCTACCCAGCTGGGGTCAGCCAGGAGGCCACTTCTCATCGACAACCACTCAAAGTCAGCAACTGCGGGACGCGCTTTTACCTCTCAGTGTCTAGGAAACCAGTGACACATCTTGTGTGGGCAGGAGGCCTAAGCAAATGACCTTGGTCCCTGGAAGGCTGGCGCGCACTCTCGGGCCACCCATGCGCAGCCTACAAAGGCAGCTCCGGGGGAGAAAGGGGCTGGGGTCGGAGACCTAGTAGCAGCAGGGGGCTGCTCGCCTCAAGGCGGGTGGTTATCAAGGCCTCCAGGGTCGACTTTCGGGGCTGACCCGTCTCCCAACAAGATCGGAGGAGTTCCTAGGGTGGACAGCCACGTGGCTCTCCAACCCGCCTGTGGGGCAGGAGGTTCCCAGAGCGTCCTCTCTTTTTTCTGTTAGGTCACTGACAGCAGGGACTCAAAGGACGAATCGCTCCTTCCGTCCGGCCCCAAAATGGCGACCGACCCTGGCGGACCTACGCGGAGCCTTCGGCCACCTCCCCTTCCCAGCGGCCACTGCGCCGGCGGCGACGGCAAGCGGGAGGGGGGCGGAGCCGGTGGAG